TAGTGTAGTGAATGCCACAGAAATGAGACATTCATAATAATCCATGTGATTCTGTTATCTGGTAAAAATATAAAAATAAATCTTTTGTTTCCAACATAATTTACTTTGGAGGGGTAGGAGGACACATGCACAAGCCAAGTTACAATTTTTGTTCCAAAACCAGATCTATGGCATTTGGATGTGTTACTAGGGTGTGGAGCTCTGTGACACTGTTGTGGGTTTGGAGACTCAACTTTTTAGCTTATCATAGCTGAACAACAACACTTGAGGTAGAGAAGTTCGAGCTCCTGTAGCCTGTATTTGTTTTCTTTTCAATTTCATTGAAGTCTTGCAATTAGTCATTGTTAGTACTTTCCTGGAAGGCATACAGCTCTTGGTTTGATAACCTCCGAGATAAAACCAAGGCATTGCTCTCGCCTGATTCCTCTCTCTGTTACCTCTCTAGCTGAAACAGCCAAAATTAGATTCTGGTTTTGCTTTACTGAAGAGCATCTCCCTGCCCTGAAGTTGGAGGATTCCAGACTCTTACTGCTGCCTTTGTACTTGATGTCCCAAAAAGAGCTGGTAATAGCGCTCCAAAGCCTTTCTGATAAATGAAAGCACTTAAAACAACGCTGTCAAGGGTTTTTTGAAGATGGAACGAGTCTTGTCTCTGGGAATTGGGGTGCATGAAAATAAATAAATAAAGTAAGCATCTTTTTGCTTAATGGGAAGACTCATAACTTTATGAAAAAAAAGAGTGAGAGAACAGAGAGTGAGAGAACATTTTAAAACTGTCAGGGCTGCTGATATTTAAGTTATAATCTTAGATACAACAATCTGGGTTCCTATTCTTGCCATTAGATGTCATCAATAACAGTTTCAGTGAATATCCTTTGCTGTCCTAATTTTTTTGAGCAATCATTGAATTTCTTGTGTGTGTCTCTACTCACTCTTGGTGTGGGATCACTGGCCTGAAAGGAAGGGGAAAACTATCTTCCATAAATCTTTTGTAGACTTGTGTTTATGTAGGGGGGTTGTGCTGGTTCACCAAAATAAAAACATTTCCACACAAGACTTAAATTCTTTTTCCAAAGCTGCATAATTTCGTGCTCTTGCCTGGTGTGGTGGGCTGACCTTGGCTAGCTGCTTTTTATCTCTTCTTACTCAGTGGGAGGGGGGAGAAAATAGTAAGAAAAAGTTCAGTGATTGAGACAGAGACACGAAATCACTTACTAGTGATTGTCATGGGCAAACCAGACCCGAATGGAGAAGATGAAATTTACTGCCATTTAACATAGATGTGAATGGTGAGGAAGGTGGACAAAAATGGAGACCTCTGCCCATGTCGGTGTGTCTGGGTGTCGGTGGGGTTTCACCGAGTGATGCTGGCTCACCCTTTCCCCGCGGCAGTCCCGGGCTGTGGCCGTGGGGACTCCGCCAGCTCTGGGTGTTTGTGGGACGCGCTGCCGGCCCTGAGGGAAGTTGTTCATGTCCCTAATTGCGGACCGGCTGCTGTTGACACCTTCGGCCCCGAGGCAGAAAGGTGTTTTCCCTGTTTTCCCTGCCGGTGTTTGGCACAGATTAGCTGGAGCTGGGCTGTGGGATCAGGTGACTAATCACCTATAAGCGCACTAATTAAGCGATGGGGCAGGATAATGGCATTCTGCAGCTTACTGGTGACATGCTGGGCGGGCAGCTGAGCTCCCTCAGGAGCTCAGGAGCCTTGATGCCATGGAGCGTCATACGGCAGTGGGAAACACCGTGGAGGACAGGTCAAATTTCTTCCTTCGATGGCTAAGAAATTATTCGGCACAAAGTTATTTTGGGGGAAATAGTCCTTGGATTAATCCTTGAACAAATTTAAAGAAAATTATTTAAACAAACCCTTGCTGTAATTGATCCCTGGATTAATCCACGGGGAGCTAAATGGGAATTTGTGACCCAGGATCCTGCCGTGGCTCTTCCCTAAGTGTGGCTGCACCTGGGGGAGGCCTCCTGCTTTCACAGATAACACCAGGCCTGAGTAACCCTGACATTTAAAATGTGAAAAATTGGTTTCTTTATCAGCCAGCTGAAATTGAAGTTCCAGGGGGAGCAGGGGAAGCTCTGGGAGAGGCAGCATTAAAAATACTGTGTTACTATTCTTCAGAAGAGGCTTTATGTCGCAAAAGCATGTCTTGGATGAAGACATCAAATTCCATCTGCTGTTTCTTTGTGTTTAAATTGAGACAATAATGCATGTTGAATCAAGCATGTGTGTTTTTCATCACTGTTTACATTTCTCTTGACGCTGCTTTGACAGCAGCAGGAGCAGTTGCTGGAGGTGAGACCCAGCAGGGCTGCTGTGCGTCAGTGGCACAGGAGGAGTTGCTGCCCAGGGCACTGGTGCTCTGTGGATTTACAGCACCGGTTTGATTCCTGCCATCTCCTTGGTTTGTCCCCACAGGTATCACTTACATGGCTTCCTTGCTTCCTAGGTGCTGGAGTTGGAATAGACCCCTGGTTATTTGGTCTTGTGAAGTGGTGGTAGGTGTTGAGCACTTTTGCTGTAGGTAGGAATGAAGGGGGTTTCAGCAGGGATGTGGTGGTGGAAATGTTCTTTGGAAAAGCTGAAAGGAATGATGCAATTCAGTGTGTGACTTCATGATCTGAGGGAGAGATGTGCTTGTGGATGTGGCTTCAGCAGGGAGAAGTGAGAACAAATTATTCTGCAACCCAGATGAAATACATGCCTCTTTTTCAGCTGAGTGTGAGATCAAGATTTTGCAAGGTGAGCAAATAATATAGGACTTTATATGACTAATGTAAAACTGCTGGAAGGTTTTCTTTAAAAGTGCAAAAACAAGCAAAAAAAGAACTCCAACAAAATCCACCAGCAAAAATATTAATTCAGTGACATTAAAACCCCCCAAAAGCTCAAGTTTTCTACTGTCTGAAATGAGAACAGATGCTCTCTGCCACTATATAGGGAGCCCAGGTAAACAAACTGCATTGATTTCAACCAAACAAATACAGCAAACAATTAAATAAAGTGAGCTCTTACTTGAGCGGGCTTGGTTTGAGGAAAGCAGCATTGTTATCGACAGGAACTAAACAGTTGTGGAAATGTTTGACTTTTCCATTTTTGCTTTCCAGACTGACCACAAAATAAATAAAAAAGGGGGTTTCTTCTTGAGCTGTGTTTTGATAGGAGTGCCTTAAGCTTGCCTGGGAAGCTGCTAAACGCAGGGCTGGTGTCAAATCTCCTGCGTGCCATCATGTGTGTTTAGCTGGGTAATATACCAGAGATGGAAACATAATCAGGCTCCTTTGGTATCCTCTGCTTGCCGGCTTGCATTTTGCTGAGAATCCCGCAAAGCCTTGGGCTGTGCTGGTGATTGTCAGGGCTTTCAGGGCTCCTGGCGTACACATGCATAATGCATGCAGGGCGTGAAGGTGACAATGAGAGACGGGGTTCAGAGTAGGGATTGCAGTAAGACTAATAGGTTTAAGGAAATAGTATTTTTTGCCTCTTTTAAATAATTGGGTTTCTTTAATTTTTAAAATGTCTGACAATTTTTTGCTTAGCACAAAGCACTTTATATTCTAGGTCTTGCCACCGAGATAACGGCTATTTTCTCTTTTCTCTTCTGCATTTGCTACTGGTTCTGTCATGTGTAGGGTATAACAAGGTTTTATGAGCATCAGCTTTGCATTGTTTGGGCTATTTTCCCTTTTTTTTTTTTCTTTTTAGCAAAAGCCCTACAAGCCTTGCTGAAGAAGAGAGAGTAGAGTACCAGCAGGCTTCCAAGCAGGTGTCTGGGAGCTGCCTTGCCAGGGTGTACTGAGGAACTGGAATTTGTCTGACAGCTTTTGGGGAAGAGCCTGTCTTTGCCCTGAAAACTAAACACTGTCTCTCATGGCAATGCGGGCTGTGGATTTTGGTCTAACCTACTTACAAAAATCAGACCAGTTTATAAGGGTGGACTGAGTTTACTGGAAGGAACTGTGCTTGCTTGAAACCTCTTCCAGTCAGAGCTGGGGTAATGTTAGCCTTGAGGATCTGCCTTACCTGGGTTTTATTGTGTTGTTGCTCTGGTAACAGCAAGTCTTATACCTTTATTAAAGGAAGCAGGGATATTTTATTTTACTCTCTAGACTCCAATCAAAGGGAAATTTTGAGGTTTCTTTCTACCACATTTTTTATCTTAGCAGAAAATTTGTACTTGCTCTGCAGAGAGAAATTTTGGAGCAGAGAGCAATTTTTTGTTTTAACTTCGCAAATAAATATCAGGATGTGCAAGAATACTTTGTGTTCATATTCTAAGTATAATTTTGGGTTTTAATCCAGTCTTAAAAAATGGGGAAATTCTACAGGAAACTTGAAGTCAGGAAGAATTAAGCCTTCTTAAGCACTTTGTATGCGCTCAGTGCCATGCTGTTTTATCAGCTTCAATTCAGAAATTGTCTCCAAGGCTTTTGACTGTATTTGAAACAGGTCTTGTAGTGACAAGGTGGCTGTTGGGAGAGCTGGTTGTCTTGAGCTATCACTGTGCTTTTCTCTGTGCAATTACAGAGTTATATTGGGGCAGTGTTTGAGGTGGTGTCTTGGTCAAGTCACACTTTTATTGTACAGGCTCTGAACCTGGAAAAACCACAGATGGATCAGTTGGTAAAGAAGAACAACTCGGATGCTGCCTTTGGTTTTAGGAGCTTCTGTGTACATGCTGTTGCAATATATACTACCCTGCCCTGAATGGGCTTGGTTTTTGCTGTATCCATCCAAAGGGGAGGGCATTTATTTTTGCTGCTTCAGTTCAAATCCCTTTTGCCCAATGTTTCTATTCAGAAAAACTGTAAAGCCTCATCACAGAACTAGTATTTCATCTGGATTCAGAAGCAGTCAATTTTGGTGTTCATGGATTAGGATTTACTACAGTTTTAGTTATTGTTTTATATCTAGTTTAATTTGATCTATAGTATTAAAATTAGAATGCTCCAATCAAATGTTCATTGTTGTATTTTATTTTTTCTTGCAGGGAAGTTATCCAGTGTGGGAAGATTTTATAAATAAAGCTGGGAAACTGCAATCTCAGCTTCGGTGAGTTTTATGTTACACAGTCAAGATCCCCTACAGTTCCTTGGATGTGCAAACATTAAGATTAAATGCAGCTTTTGCAATGTTAATTTTCTAAGCACGTTCTAGTAAAATCGTGCATATTTCTTAGTCAACACCTGCATGTAATTTTTTAAATACTACTACTGGTGTCTTAATATATTTAGGAAAATTCACAATACGCCACCAGCTATACATAAAAAATATAAAATTAGCTAAATTTCATTGATATTGATGAATAATTTGAAAGAGTTTATTGTTGTTTAATGAGCACACATTTGGAGCTAGGTCTATGATGCCCTTTTTACTAGTGTACAATACAAAGGGTTTATGTTGGAAGAGGGCTCAAAGTGTTAAAAAGTCTTTGGTAGCCTTAACAGCATTTTCCTCTGACTTAAAAATGAAGGGAATTGCTTTCCTGGATTGCTTTGTATTAGTGATTATTAAAACTTAAGATTTTTGGGATATACTTTGAAAATGGTATACTGGATTTTTTAGTATATGGCAGAAGTATCACACTCGGACCAATTATACCTATAGAATTCATTCATTTGTAAAATTTGTTTCTGCTGATACAAATACAACCTCCATTTTCTCACAACTCTCCCTAAACCAGAGTCTCCTCTCTGCTCTAGAAAGCGCCAGTTTTTTTCCCCAGCAGCTGTAGTGGTAACAGGTTATTGGCAGTCTGGTTTGTGGTTCTGTGTTCCATTATGAACTATTCCCAAAGAAGTTGGAGGTTTGCTTCATTTGCCCTTAACAGCTGGATTATGCTGTTCTACTACACCGTGCTTAACATGCCAAACTTGCATGTGGCTTTTTTCCTTTTCCAGCAATCATGTCACAGTGAGTATGGAAGTTGTAGAGGAAGTAGAGAAAGAAGAGAAATGGAGAACTTTCCCAGCATTTTGTACTCTTCAAACACAGGCCTTCTGGGATGGCATGAGGCATAGTTTTGTTTATTTCCCAGTCCTGTGGTAATTGCATTCTGTTGCTGCAGTGCTACAGGAACATGCAAGCAGGCAGCTTGAAAGCCTGTGTTTGAGGATTTGCTGTTTGTTTCTAGCAAATGTGAGCCTTTTGCTGCTGTTTCATTTCTGTGTGCTCTGATAAAGGACAGCAGATGTCATTTGAGCGGGAGCCAGGTCTTTCTGGATCTTGTTACTGGGGAAGTGGAACTTTGTTATTAGTGATGTAATTAATAATTAACCACATAGTACATGAATAACAGTGTGACCCACAAGTTGGAAGATGAGCAGCACAAACAGTGTTAAGGAAAATTTCAGCAAAGATATTCTGGTTCCAGGGCCTAATATTGCTAGCTAGCTGTCAGGGGGATTTGTCAGGTGGGGGATTTGCCCTCCCTTTAATCTCCTGGGCATGTGGAGAGTCCTTATGCATTTGCTTGGTCCTCTCACGCCTGGGGTGTTTTTTCTGTGTGTGTTCAAATCTTTTGTGCTTGTCAGTAGGCCATTTACTACACTGCCAGTTATGTCCTCTGTACCTTGAGCATATTTGGAGTGAGACTTGCATAAAATCTGACCTAATTAAGCAGTCCTGTGGTCTTTCTGGCCAAGGATCAGCTTCCCTGCAGGTCTACTGGGTTTTTTGAGGCTATGAAGGAGCACTTGAAACAAAGTGAATGTGATAGTCCCTGTTCTGGATTTTGCTTGAAAAGGCTGACTGACACCATCAGGAGAGAAAATCAGAGTTTGTTAGAAAAGATGTGCAGGAACAGAGCCATGAGGTAACTGTGGAGAGGGCACAATTGTAGAGCCCTGGCCTACTTTGTCTTTAATTGGGTCAACCAGACTATAAACCTTCAGAAATTGGGACTGACCTGAGGTGTTCAGGGCTCTGGGGTGTGCTTATCTAGAACAAACGTGTCTGGAAAACTGTAACTCACGTTTGCTGTCCACTTGAAGAGATATATGGTCTGTGGGTGCTTACCAAACATGGAGGGAGATTGGGCTAGTGAGGTTGACACTTGGGATTGTGAAGTCTGAGGTTGCTGGTGTACCTCTCAGGAAAGATCCTGCTTGGAGGAGCACTAGATCAGAATGGGGTTTTTATTTTGGGGCTTTGGGTGTTGATGGTTTTTGTGGGTTTGAGTTGCTTTGGGTTTTTTTTCTTGAGGTTGAGGGTTTTTTTTCCTTTTTTTCCCACCTTTCCATTTATCCAAGAACTCCAGGCTAGTCTGATTTCAGAAAAATTTTCTGTTTCAAGGGATGCTCATGCTCCCCACATGAAAAATGTGGGAAATTGTTTGGCTAGGATCCTAGATAAAAGGAAGTTTCTGCATGTTTGTTCTTAAAATATGCATGTTCTCTGAAAATAGCAGTGGCTATAATTTGTTCACTAATGGGTGAAGTATAATGTGTGTTAGATTTGTTTTTCATGTTTGACTGCTTAATATTAGTTCATCAGAGGAAATCAGCTAGAAGGAGGGTGGCTGTGCTCTTTTGAAACAGCACCTGTCCTGTGCAATTCTCAGCATGGAATTAGCGTGGCTGCCTCCAAGTCCATAGTGCTAACACAAAGCAAGGAAGGGATTAAGAAATGAAGGAGGGAAAAGGCTAAGTTCAGATATAAAAGAGAATACTTTTTGTGGCCTCTGCAAGTTCACAGTGTTATTCTTTATAAGCCTAAATGTTTTTGGCAGTAATTAAATAGGCATCAATGAGACACTGCTAATGTTTTGTTATCTGTATGCATTTCAGGACTACAGTAGTAGCAGCTGCTGCCTTTTTGGATGCCTTTCAGAAAGTGGCTGACATGGCTACTAATACACGTGGTAAGCAGATGTGTCAATATTGAGTTTAACAGAATGCTGTGTGGTTTATGCCATTTGTCGTAATAAAAAGAAGTCTTGTTACATTGACAAGCAGATCTGTGAGACATCTGTTAGGTGGACTTGCACTTTGAAAAAGTGGCACGTGAAAAAGGAAGTTGTCTTTACTGAAAAAAAAATGCTGGAAACCTGTAATTTAAATGTGTCATCAATCATGTGAACACTTCTTAATTACCATTTGAATTATACGTTGATGAATAATATTTTAGAAAGCAAGATTTACAGAAATCTGTATTCACTGATGCCTCTGTACCTTGTGTAAATGAAAAAGGCTTGATACTCAGCTGGAATTAATAACTGTAGGGCTGCTGGAGACAGAGTAGATACTGGCTGATGCTGTGTAATGCCAGCAATGATGACAGCAACGACCTGTACTTACATCTTTGAGCAAAGACTTTGCTTGTGCTTCCCCCTTAAGTCTGACGTTCTTGGTCAAACAGAATTTTCCTGTTTGTGGGCTTCTCTGGGTAGCAGTCTCAGCTTATTGGTGAGTATGTAGAGCCAAAGTAGTGCAGCTGGCATTCTTTCCAGACTGCTGGATTGGAAGGAGACAAAAGGCTGCTTCTCTCTGATTGCTGGCTGCCCAATGACCAAGGCATTATGTGCAGATGTCCCTGCAGTGGGCATTCCCCATGGTCACTGTCCTTGGACTGCTGCTGAGGAGTAAATCTGGAGTGCAAATAAATCACTACTGAGAGAGCAGCTCTTGGTCACTTCTAGCCCTAAAGATTTTGTTGCATTTTTTAAAGTCCTAATTTTCTGTTGGCATTTGACTTGGAGAGTAAGTAAGTAATGAGTAACCCTTGACATGAAGGGTGTTTAAGCTCAGTCAAACTTCCCTTACCTCTGGCTAACAGAAGGAGTAGCAGCTGCTGGAGTGAATTCCAAGTCACAGAATGACAAGAGGGAAGAATACTTCTTTTTCCTGTCTAAAGCTAGTATTTACATTTTGATAAGAAGTTCCTCATTATATGCATACCAACAATAAATTATAGGTAATCTACTCACATAAAATAATAAACATGACAGAAAGAGGAATAAACTAAGGATGAGACCCCAGGGAAGAACTTAACTTGGATTTCTAACATGTCCTTCCTTCAAGCATATTCTCTTCTCTTTCTTCTGCCTCCCTCAAGGGGAAACAAAGTAAACTATGAAAATCCTTGAGACTTGTCTTCTAGCTATGCTGGCAGGCTTGTAGGACTTGCATTGAGATACCAGAATGACTGAAACTTTTCCCACTCTCAAACAAAAATGGCTTGTGTGGGTTTTTTGAAGGGTATTTTACACTTTCTGCTGTGTCGTGTCTTGTCTCTTATCTCTTCGAACACATCCTTTACAAAAGGAGCTCTGTGAATCCAGGCATACCAAATTAGTATAGCCCCTCTGTTCTGTCTTCTGACTGAAAGGATAGAAGAGAGTTTTGGTTTTATTTTTAGAAAGTGATGTTCTGGGTAATGAATCAAAACTCCAAGTTAGCTGGTGGTTCTGATCTGCCACCCAACCCAACTTCGATTTGTGCCCATTCAAGTTTATCTCTGAGGTTGCACTTTGGTCCTTTAACAAATACTGATCATTCTGCCTTGCTATGTACAGGGATAAACACCTGTCCCCAGGGAAGATGATGGCAAAAATCCAGTTGTGATGGAGGGCACAATTCAGTAAAAATGTATTTTGCCATCAGTTTAAGAAATTCTATTCCAAAACTGAAACAGAGCAGACTTTATATTCTTTTTTCTTTGATGTGGGAATTTTAACTGTCTCTCAGTTTTCCCTTTGAGTGGTTACCTAAAGTGAAAAATTCTTTCCTAAATTTTGCCTGTTACTTACCCAGTTTATAGAATTATGTATCCGATTGTGTAATCAAACATCTGGCTGTGTTTCACATGGTTTAGTGGGTTAACAGATAAACCAAAGTTTACAGTTAACAGATTAACCAAAGTCAGACAAAGTCATGTTCAGTTGCTGGGGATATATGAGACTTGAGTAGCACTCCCCATGACAAAGGCAGGGAGGTTGGTGTATTTTATATCATGAGGCTGGTTTATCATTGCATGAGCCAAATGCTTCTTCTGGGAGCTAACTGTATATGGAAATGCTGAAGCAGGTGCCTCTCTGGAGGGACAGTGTTAGTTCCTTGTAGGATGACTGAAGTGTTGTGAAGCTGGTGCTGCCTTTAATTTGTAATTGCTCGTAGTTCTACAGAAAGTGGCCTGTTATTTTAAGACTCACTGATCTGGCTGATGAAAGTGTTTTATCAGTCAACAGAACAACTCTGGCTACTCTTTAATCTGCGTGCAGCAGCATTAACTTTGAAAGAAGAAGAGGTGTTTGGATATACATGCAAGGAGGAACAATCTCAGTCACCAAGCGTTCAAGAATGAGAGCCTGTTGCCATCGTTCCAGTCCGTGTTCCAACTGGTAGCCTCACATTGTGTGCCATTACTGCTGTTCACAAGCACTGACTTTGGTCTTCTGGTGCATTGTTCTCTCTGTGACATTTAGTTCCTTCTAATCCTGCAATGGTAGTGATGTTAATTTTCACATTTCCATCTGGAGCTCAGATAGAAGGCACAATTGGAGCTCTGCCTGTGGTAAAACCTAGGATTGGATGAGTCAGATAACCTGTAGTTTGCTGTATTTTTTTCCCTTTGTAGCTTCTAAAGTAGGAGAAGCCCTCAATGTGAAGTACCTGATGTTTTGTGGTGACTCAGTACACAAATTAATTCCCAACCAGCTCATTTCAGCTTTTGCTTTCTCCTTTGCTGTCTTTCCATTTAGATGTACATCAACCCAAAGTTGACTCTTTTTTCCTCAGTTTAGTTCCCTCAGTTCAATGCCTTAATTTTAGAATGACAAGGGAAAACACAGGGAAATCAGTTCTGATGCATGTGTAACCAAAATGTTAGATTTCTGTGGGTCTGGTCATCTAAGAATCATAATTTGAATGGGGGAGATTAAGTTATGCTGCTAATTTAAAGTAATGCTAGCTGTATAGTAGTGTATGCTGTTTTTGCTGGTATCAGAGATTTTTGAAAAAATTTCTTCAGATGTTTTGAGTTTTTGAGCTCTGACAAAATAGAGACATCTATGTAGCAGTTTTTGTTATTCAAGCTGCATCTGTTTGGCATACTGCCCAGAAGAACTTGGTAGTATGCGGTGGAATCTGTATTATCTCTCACTGTGATTATTAAAGAGAAAGCTTGGAAAATATTAAATGAATGAGGTACTTCAGAGTACCTTTAAATCCTTAATATTCCTTAAATAGTGTAATAATAACTCTTGAATACCTTAAAAGTGATGTTTCCTTTTGGGGAGATGTGTGCTCATGACTTTTAGTTCAGGCTTTTCTTACATGCTTTATTTCTATCAATATTTGAGATTCTGAATGTTTTTGCCTCCACCAGTTTTAACTGAAGCATGGAAGAAATTTAAAGCTAATTTAATTTTATATCCGTGTACCTTATTTGTGCAATAAAAAGATATTCCGCTATGAAGGCAAGAACTGTGCATCCTAAATATGGTATGTTTATATGTGATATATGTTTAGTTTGCTTTCAACAGTATGTAAAAGGGCATGTTTAAATTGCTTTACTTTTTGTATGCTAGTCTACTTCTGCCTCTGCTGCATTTGAATATCTTTTGTAGATAAGTATAGAACTCGGGAACTTGGAAAAAGTAGGTGTGAAAATTAACTATCCTTCTTGTGTTATGAGGGAGATTAATGTGAAGATATGCACACTTCTTCTGTATCCACTTAATACACCATCAGCAGCTTCCATGGATAAAACCCTGCCCCAATCTTGCCTACCTGCATCTTCACAGGTGTAAATTAAAATTTATGGAAAGATAATCTAAAAGCTTTGATTTACCTAAGCTTAAAATTGATCTTCAAAGTGAGGTTGTTAATGAGGCAGCTGATACTCAAGTCTTGTGGTTTTTTATTTTTCATTCATATTGAAGGGTTTTGCATATGCATAGGTGTGCTTGATATTAGCAGATTAGTTAAATCACTTCAAGAGGGTGTCAGTATATCACACAGCTTTCTCTGGCCAGTTGGGTTCCATGGATTGTAATGCTGTTTGAAGTTCCCTTTTGGCAAGTGCTACTAGAGGTATGTTTTCCCTGCCTTTGGTAATTTTGACATCTAGTATGTTTTCCATATCTTTCATTTTACATGTCTGAGAGGATTTTAAGGCAATGCAGAGTTGCAGAAACTCCACTTGAATAGGAGACCCTTTCTTCTGGATTGATGGTTTTGAGATCTGGGAGGATACTGTGGGTTGTCAGCCAGCTGCCAAGGGGCACTGAGTAGATTTGGAAGCAAAACTCAGTCTGTGTGTTCTGGTTTGAAAGCAAAACCAGTGAGGGAGTCCAAGTCAGAAATGCAATTTATTAGAAAAAAGTAAAAGAAACAAAACACATGCAATAATAGAAAAGAAAAATCACTGACAGAGTCAGAATACAACCTGACACTCTTTTGGTCAGGGTTGTTGGTAGCAGTCCAAATTGGAGTGGCTGCAAGTCCTCCTGGAGTGGTAGATGCGGTTTGGTTGGAGCAGTGATCTTGTAGAAGGGTGTAGTCTTCCTCTGAGCGTCCAGAGGAAAACCCCAGCTGTTCCTCTTGGGAACCAGTGGAAAGGCTGCCTCTGATGTCCCCAAAATTTAGATTAAATCCAGTTAGGAATGCTTAGCTCCTCCCTCTGGGTGGAGCGTCTCACAATGGGATGTTATAGTTCTTATCAGTCATGCAGTGACATTCACTGGCCCATTATCTGCAGATGTCTCCCCTGAGAGAGGATTGGTTGTGAAAGAGATAAGGAAAACGGCTCACTTAACAGAAGACAACTGCCATACAGATGGGAAATGGAATACATCTTGCTTCTCAGTCTGGGACACTGTGTATGCATGGCATGCAGCAGCAGCAGTGACCAAAATCAGCA